GCAGAGGTAACGAAAACGCTTTTCTTGCCCAATATGCTGAGGCCCCTCTGAAGAGGTAAGTGTGTGTATGTGTGTGTAGCAGGGAGGAGGGGGGTGGGGGGGATGTCACGGGGGTCTTTAACGGATAATCTTTGTACTTCTGATGCAAATGAATTAGGGGAAGAATAATAATACATATATATAAAAGGAAGAAAGAAGGAAAAACTAAATCCTTGCAGGCTACAGACAGTTTTCAAGGAGAAGAGTCCCTTCCTTCAAGGCAGATGTGCAATTTTGATTCCGTTTCTGGCAACTTTTAGCTCTGACAGCAGAGAGCTTTAATCTATTTATCTTCTGAAGATTGTACGCAGATGTGTGTACATACAATATAAATATAAACATATACTTGTAAGTGGAAACACACTGTAGGTATAGAAAATACAGTTTAAATAAATATTATACTACAGTGTGTTATATGTATTGCATTCCTGTTATCCACTCTGCTCCTTCTCTGCCTTTCACCTATCTGGGAGGTGACAGCTTGCCATCTCAGAATTTAGCAATTTCACGGCTGTCAAAAGTCAGACTATAGTGAACTGGAAAAACAAAGTGGAAATTAGAGAAAACGGACAGGAACGTCCTGGATGTGAACAAAAAAAAAATTAAAAAGGATGCTGAAATCACTGAACATTGTCAGGATGTTTCTTTAATGAATAAATAGCTAAACGAATGAATCGATTTCTGATGTGACATTCAAACTTTTCTTGTTTTGTATTAATTAATTCAGATTAATGTCAGAGGACAGTAAAGAGACCAAATCTGGGCTTTGCACTGGCACTGCTTTCTAGTTTCTCTCATTCAAAAATATATTCAGGCAAGAAAAGTATGCACAAGTGCTTTAAGGGCTGCAAAGCTCTTTAAAAAAAGAAAAAGAAAAAAACCCATCTCAAATCTTTAACAGGTTTAATAAAATGTATAAAGCCAGCCTTCTGGAAGTAGGCTCATATTGGAAGTAATCAATTTTCCAAAGTGTTGTTCAGCTTCTTGAGAGCAGAATTGGAGCACTCTTCCTCAGCCTCTTCCAGATTGTAATGTGTGTTATTTTCCGCTTTCTTTCTGTGCAAATTCAATGCATTTCACATTATCAGTGCTGAGGTGCACAATAACAAAATAATATTAAAAAGGTGGTTTTTCCTAAGCAGGGGCTGTGAACACTAGGTCCATTCATGGCTTCCTGGACTCTGAGGAGAGACTGCTGGTTTTGTTTGGGACCCTGCACCGCTTGAATGGAATCCAGAAGGTGGAAGAGTGGTGCCTCTTCATCTGTTTCTCTTTGGACAGCTCTGCCCCGCATGATTCACCTCATTCCCACTGGCTCTACGGCATGATCATCACCTCCCGCAACCCGAGACCACCATCTTCTCAATTTCTCTCCCCCCAAAAAGTCAGCAGATAGAGTCCGGCCCCCACAGCCCTCCACCTCTCCGAATGGGACCGTTAAAAATAATAAAGGTGCTTCCAACAGCTTAAAGTCACAAGCGGCTCGGCAGCTTTTCACAGAAAGATAAACACCTCCGAGGCGCCTTTAGAAATCCTTTCTTACAAAGTCACTAGAGCCTCATTCCCAGCCTCTCACCAAACCCCAAAGCACGGGGAAACAAAATGCCACAAGATAAACAGATTTTCTGGGTGATTGGTAACAAATGTACTGTAATTGTAATTCTGTGAATTTGGGTGTGGTAGTCTAGTACAAACTGTGTGCTGAAAAGAAGTGCACAAATGTGTCAAAGCACTCTCTGAATGTAAATCCGGTGTACTGTGAAACTGTGTGCTGAAGGATTCACACCTTCATAAGTCATCCTCAACTCCCTACAGACTCTGTGCTCTGAGAGACATGCACACCGCAAGCCTTACCGTTACACAGACTGGCTCATAAGAGCCTCGAATAAGGTTAGAAATGAAGAAGTCCATTCAGCCCAAACAGCTCATGTGATAGTTAGAACCTTACGACTCATGCAACTGTTTCATGAAAGAAGCCAGGGTATCAGCTTTAACAACACGGCTGGGTAGTTTGTTCCATACTCCCACAACCCTTTGTATAAAGAACGGCCTTGTGTTTTGAATGTACTTCTACGTGTTTCACTCTTGATTCTGGCAACGTTCACTATCTCTCCTCAAGTGCACACCAAACATCACTGGACTTTGTTTTATTTTAAAGCAATACAACAGGTTTAAATTAAACCCATTAATTTAATTCAACCCACTAATTAATTAATTGAATTAAATTCAATTAACAGAAAGCCGCTTATTCCTGTTAAGGGTTGCGACAACAACCTTCCCAGCCTTCCCAGAAGCAGAGAGATCAGGGTGGAATTCCAGCCCATTGCAGGGAAAGGCACTCCCACACACAGGAACAATTTAGGAACGTTGACCAAAACAGCATGTCTTCACAAGGTGCAAGCAAACTGGAGCACCCAGCCAAAACCCACAAGATGACACAGGGATAACATGCAGACTCCACACGGAAACGTGCCCAAGTCCAGAATTGAAACCAATTAATTACTGTACGTACTTAATTAAATTTAACTTTAAGGTAACTGTATAGCAAAATGCATGCCTGTCTCAATAACTCCTTTTAAATATGGTAAAAAAGTATATGACCAGTATATATAGATTACAGTATCTACTTTCATAAGCAACTATTAAAACTAGTTACATGGACACACAACAAGATACTGAAGGACAGAAAACTAATGTCGAAGCTATGAATAAAAAGAAAATATAGTCATATTTAATAATATGACTATGATTGTTATAGACATCCATGTTAAGCAAAATTGTCATTTTTTAAACAAAAGGGGCATTTACTACTTCAAAGAACCCCGCTCTAAAATGCAGCATCTCTCTGTGCTGTCTTTATAAGGTTTTTATTCAGAGTATATCCTGCAAATACAAGACCTTCTGCCCTAAATGTGAACTAAAGCTATTAGCCAGAAAATGTATAATAGGTTTTGCAGAGACTCAAGGTAACAATAAAGAAACCTAGTTACAATTAAGAGCGCTTGTTGTAGGATAATGAAACTTGGTTCCAGTTGGAAGAAAGAACAGAAATACACCGAAGACCAACTGAAGCTCTAATCAGATCGTCTGTTCCCTGTGTTTGCAAGCCTCCAGACGCCCCTCTGACCCTAAAATAAATAACAGAACTTCTGAAAATCTGAAAGAAAGGGGAGTTCATTAGTTTTTTTTTTCCTCCTTCTCCCAACAATAAGTATTTCTGCTGCCAAACAGTCAGAGACAGAGTTGGTTTCCTTTCAGATAATTGATGTAGAGTTTCTACAGCATCCAAGCCCCAGACATCTTTTCAAACGTCAGGCAGGAAATCGTACCGTCAAAGGAAAGTGGTGCATTCCTTTAACACAGCTCGGGTCAGACCCTCAGAAACGCTAAATTTATACCACTGCTGCCAGAATCACTTGCATTTTCATGCCCTCCTGTTGCTAAGATAAAGGATGTTTCCCACTGCCTCAGCAACCAGCAGTCGTTTCAAACTCCGGCTAGGTTCTGACAAAACAAGTGGCTGTCACCCCAAATTGAGCAAACGAGCTTTCGCCCTTACAGTACGGAGATGGGAATGGTTATTGGATACCGCCAAGGGAGCACCATGAGGAACCAGCGTCCAGAGCTTTCTGACCTTCTGTAGTCCTACCCAGCCTCCAGGACCCCACCAGCCCTCTGCCTCCACAGCTCAGCCTGGGCCTGTGGCCTTCATCACGCCCTCTCCCTCTCAGCGGTCACACAGGAAGGACAGCGAGACTTTTTAAGTTTCAGCCAAAGGGGATCAGGTTTTGCTTTGCTCCTTTTCTTCTTCCTTTGAATTGTTTACGCACAAACACACACACGCTTGACTCCCGGAGATCCTACGCTACGGGAAACTGGAAAAAGAAATCTGCAATATTTGCACTCTTCATGCAAATATTTCTGAGAAAGCTGGGGATTAACATGCTCTGTCAACACAAAAGAACTAAACTAAAAATCAACAAATCCATTCTTTGGTGTATAAGAGGACATGGGAAGCGCATTTGAAGCTGAAAGTAGGAGGCACTTCTTTATGCAAAGGGTTGTGGATGTTTGCAACAAGGCAGCTAGATTGCTTTGTTGAAGCTGACACCCCAGGTTCCTACAAGAAGTGGCTGGATGAGATCCACAGATCAATTAGCTGCCAACTACCAAATGACCTCCTCTCACTTGTAAACTTTCTCATGTTCATGTGACCACAGGCAGTAAAATGATATCAAGATGCACAGGTCAGGGAAACGTTCTGGCTTAACATATACTACCTCTAATTCAACAACAAGGCAAAGAGGCAATTGTATTTTGTTCCGTAATTCATTAAATCAGTTATTTTAAAAAATGATAAAACATTGTTTCTACTCTGAAAATAATGTACTGCATTATCTTACATTTATCTTGATATCTTGAGCTATATTAGTACGAACATATTTGAAAGAAAAGATTTGTTTTAGTGTCATTTGATTCTGACGAAGATGGGATTAATCCCAAATCATACCTAAACACTGTTCCTCAAAGGCATTAGAACATACAATAGGATAAATACTAAGAGCAGCTATTAAAAATAGACAAGTATCCGTTATGGAATTCCCCAATGGAACAAGAGGGTGGGAGGGACATCTGGATAACAGAATAATTTTAAGTGTCATTTTATACATTTAACAATGCACAGTCTGAACAAGTACACCTTCAGCACTGTATTAAAAAATATGTTAAAAAAACCTCAGAAAAGTATAACTGGAGCTTGAAGCCAAATGCATTAAACTGTGCATCACTTTTCAAATAACCTCATCAAAACTCTCTTTCCCATAGAGATGTGAGATTCTCTGCGGGGTGGGGGAACATATTCAGAAGTGCAGCTCTAAGGTAGTAATATTCTAGATCCAATTCCAAATACACCGGACTCCACCGACAGAATGCATAATGTAAAAAATATACACAAACCCTACCGTCACTGAAGATGTCGTGATGCTCCTTAAATCATCATCCAAGCAATCCTGATCAACATCACTCTATGAAAAGAAAGCACACAAATAACATTTTATTTAAACAAATTAAAAGACTTTTTATCATGCAAAATCACAGTGATGTGACTGTGCAGTGATGGGACCTCTGTGTTCTAGAGCAGGAGTTCTAAAAATTCTGTTTCCAACCCACTGTGATCACAGCGATGCACAGCAGTATAACCCCTTCTAGAACCAGAGAGCCAGTGATCCAACAAAACACAGATTGGCTATAAACATACATAATAGAAGAGAGAATGTTTTTAAATACATTGGGCGTAAAAACCAGGAATAATCAAATGACTTAGTATTTTGTTATCACATGGATCAATCAACCAATATATTTTCTCCTGTAAAATATGTAAAATAATGTTGTTATGCATGTGCTCAATGAGCTACTAATGTAAAATGTAGACTGTAGTTTTTATATTGTCCTGCAGTATAGGCTAAGCCAAATAAAAGTACACACTTTTTCTACATAGGAGAACTTTGAGAATTTTCTAAATAGGAAAACTACCTGTCTTTTAACAACTTGCAAAATTCACATTCTGTTGGAAGCAGACCAAAAAAATAAAAGGCTGACATTTCAGTCAGAGACCTTCACAAGACCATTTGGGGAAGTCTTCTAATGTATACGAGCAGAGCAAATGTTTTTCTTCAGCTCTTTTCAAGAACAACAGAAAAGTCATTTGGTGTCTTCTTAAGAATGCTCCTATTTTTCTTAATTTGGATCACTTTTCAGAGGTTATCTGGATATGAAGCATATATCAAGCAGAAAAATAGCACACAGGCACTGATGATTGGAAGAAACGAGGAAAACATTCTGAACCCATTAAAATCCCTATGCTCAACATTAATCCAGCAGTTTGTTAAAACACTCTAAAGAGTTCTTTCATCTTTAAAATGGCATTTCTGTTTATACAGCCCGTCGGCGCTGACCAGCCCGCTACAAAGAAAGTGAGGTCTTATCTCAAGTTGTTAATGAGGAAACATGATTTCATATTTGCACCTCCATTCCAGCTCCCCTGTTTCCTTCTGTCGGACATTCAAGGTTTGTAATTAGTGTTTCTCATAATGTTATGCTTTACCAACTTGTAGGCAGAAACAACAGAGGAGCAGTACTGCAGTGTCACGATAAATGGAAATTTAATTTCTGTGGGATTTGTTAGGATGGTTCGTAGAAGGCAACCTTTCTTCCTTTTTTTCTTCCTTCTTCTTTTGATTCAAGCAAACTCTTTTTTATTACAGTGGCTTTCAGTAACACTTATTTTAAAGATGGAAAGGCTACCCTCATAGCCAGAGTTCCCCGAGGGCAATGAAGAGTCCATTAGACATCGGATTTCATTCTAAAATACCCATCTTTCCGCAGTAGGTAAGTATTTTAGGATAAATCCCCTGTGATATTATGGATACATGTTCCCTCTTTGAAATGGAAACAAGTGTTGCTCTTTGTAGAAAGGGCAGCGGCACCAGTACTCCTCAGGGTGTAAGAGGAAAGAGGCGTTTTTTAGTGTGGAGAGATTCACTGGAATGCCAGCAGCTACTTCACATCCAATTCTTTCCATAAGGAGAAAGTCAGGCTCATAAGCCCTCACTCATCGAATGGTATTTATCTGCATTAAATCACACTCTTCTCCTCTTTCTTGATTTATACAATATACATTTTTGATGCACACACATAATCATCAGATTATTTTAAAAACTGGAAATATCATTCTCCCTTCTTTTCTAAAACTAAAAGGCATTAGGTCCACATTCAGAGCAAATCCTGCAATCTCTCTAGGTTTATGTCATGTAAGATGGGCAAATTAATGTTATTAAACTAAAGAGAAGAATTAAGGAGCTTGTGGGTTGGGCGTCCGTAAAAAAAAAGGGGTCTCCCTTGTGATTTTGAAAAATAAGAACAAATGTTCAGAAAGAACAACGCCCTGTAACTCTGCTGCTCTCACCCAGGTGAACAGCCTCTCAGGGTCGTTTCAAATAAAGCAGACAAGGCTGTTTTGACAGCTCTTAATGTTAGCCAGCAAAAAGGCGTTTTCTCTGCGAGGGTCAGGACGACCCTTGTGAACTCGAACTCCACCACTGACGCTTTTTTCTTTGTTCATTTTAGGCTCAGTGTTCAAAGAACTTGCACTCAGATCTGGAGACCAAAACACGCGCACCTTTGGGGAAACTAAGCACCAGACTGTCGCAGAGGTGACAAAGCAAATCAACACAACGATGGGCTTACTTTGCATCAGCAAAACCTCTGACAACAGGTAAAATATTTCAGGAATCGCCCTCTAACAAGTCCTCATTAGAAGCGAATGCCTGCTGTACACAAATCAAGGCAATTGTAATTCCCAGTAATACAGTGATAAGAAGGAAGGAACTCATTTCTTTCAAAGACCTTGAGAGTGACTTGGGCTTTCCAGCCCAGGCTGTGGTGCTATCACGATCTGTTACAAATCTCTTCTTCTCCTTAACTTCTGTTTGTCTTCATGGGCCACAAGGACTATTCACTGACTGTCTGGAAGCACAGACCTTGACAGAGCTTTTGAGATAAGCCACACCATATATCAGATCGGCTAATAACAGGAATACTTCTTTAGCCCAGATCGTCTGATTTTAATTATGTGTGATAACGGAAATGGTGGGTCATGTTCACAAAAGCTTAATCTCCTTCCTTTTTTTCTTTTTCCCCAATGATAAATGATTTTTGTTATTTGGCCTAATAGACTAATGTGTTTGCTGTGACTTCCTGGAAGAACACTTTAATTCGCCAATTAAAAAAACAAAACTCAACAATACCGCTGAAAATGAACCACATGAGTAGTGTTATTTTTTTGCAGGAGCTGGAAATATTTTATCAGCTGGAATCAACATCAATCTATTCTTCCATAAGATTAATACATAAAGGTTTTATTTTTTTTTAATTGCTCTAAATAATCCTGATTGCTTCATGCTTAGAAAGCAGAATGAACAGCAGCCCGATAAGCCATTGTGTGTGACTCAAAATGGCCAAATGAAATTGCCTACCTGCCTACAAAAATTATTAAGTACAAATATATTGATACCAATAACGATAATTTTTAAGAAACAACAGCATTACACAATTGTTTTATACAATTGTAGATTAATCTTCTGTAATCCTCTATAATTAGTGAAATGAGTCATTTCCAACTAAAACAGTTCAATATAACTTTGTTACTATTGCTTCCCATTAATTAGTTTTTATTAATTGTCATTGAGCTTTTTGTCTTTTTTCAATTGCACCATGCCCAGACCACTGAAATAGACAGAGACATCTCACACTTTCCTTAAAAGATTATAAAATGAACTTATTCAACTCCTATACATATTCCCATCTAAGATAAGCAAGCATTTATCCACAATTGAACTCATCTTTAAATGGAGTAATTCTCCATTGAACCACTAACCCATAAGAAAAACCTACAGTCCAATTCTGAAATTGCTTCAAGACATTGAATATGATTTTCTAGAAATCGCCATGATTTCTGAGGTGTTGAATGACCCTGCGGAACATGATGCAGACAAGAGATGTTATGTCTGCGCTGTTGACTTGCAGCAGGACTTGTGAAAATTGGGGTTCTTGATCTCCTATTCCATGTACCTGGTCTGATAGCACAGAGTGGGACCCCTCCTCGTCTAGTGAAATTATTCTTATTTTCTGGACCTCCGTGTTGCACAGTGGGTAGAGGGGGTGTAAGCGGGTCAGCAGATACCTTGTGGGACTGTAGGAGAGACCATGGGAATGTTGTTCCTGCTAATTTAGTAGCTTTTCCTTGAATAGAGGCAGACATTGGCATGCACTGGCTGAAGGGGAGTGAGAGGCCTGTCATGTTCTCTCCTAACACATAATGACATGGAGGGGAGTTATGGTTTTCTGCAGAGTACGGGGCTTCCAGTGAATCGAAGGCTAAATGTAAATGCACATTGAGCACAAAGGAACTAATTGATGTAAAATGTAAAAACAGCGCAGTGGTTCTTAAGGGTTTGAGTTGACAACTTAACACCTCATTCTTCAGCCAGCTTCTGCAAGTAACAAGCTAGCATTATTCAGCTTTATACCTCCCTCGCTGTTTCAGTGCATCTGGGATAAAATCAGTTTTAGTTACACATTTTCCAAACCGTAATCTCAATACCAAGAGCTGACATTATTTTTTATTGCAGTTTTCTAAGTCAGAACTGGGGAAAGCCCCCCATTAATGAAAAGTAATAATGCCCAAAGAGTAGGCAAGGATGTTAACGAAAAAAATGAAATATGGTATACTTCAAAATGAGTGAATTCTCTTGTCTTGAAGGGCTATTCTGTAATGTTGTCTTTAGAAAACCATATCAACAGATTTTAACAAATTAAAATGAAGTGAACAGAAATTATTAATAGTCAACATGGGGAAAAAAGGACTTACTCCTTATGGAAGAAAAAAAATCTGAATTCTTTTTTTTTTTTACTTTTTCAGCCCAGTTCCCTCTGCTTGGAGAGATGGACTTGACTGAAAAGCACTGGTGTGGCAGATCAGGTCAAAACACGGAAAGAAAAACGATTTTCTGCTCCTAATTCGGATATAAAAAGTGACTTATTTACAGACCACTGGTGCGATGTAAGGTGTCAGTTTGGGAAATATAACAAACTGTCTGTCACAACAGAATCTCTCAATATAAAAACTTTTAAAGTGCAAACCATAAATAATTCATTCAGGATTAATATTCTGATGTGGAATATAAAACAAATATCTATGTCATTTTACATTTTGGCACTTTTAATTCCCTAAAAACACAGAGGAGTATCAGACAAAATGCCCCAGTGCTGTAAATCTCACTGCAGGAACACAGTTTCTAAGAGGGTCACTGAAAAGTCACAGATTTGAGAACCTATAAAATTGTTTCTTTATGGCTATTCCAATTGTTGTACATTAGAATTATGTGCATTGTATTACCTCTAATGAATGGCATAAATTCTCAGTTTACGACTAAACATTTATGAGGGAGGGTAATTGTAAAACATA